TACCTTGATGAATTTGCTGATATTTAACACTTAACATCAAATATTCGATCAAATACTTAGTTTAAACTCAAATCCGAATTAATTATTGAAATGTGAATTAATTTATTTTGTAATAATTAAATTTTGTGGCGATTTAATCAGGAAACATTGCAATGTTTCGCGATTAAATCACTACAAAACTTCTGATAAATATGAAAGACGTAAGCAAATTTTTTTCATTTTCAATACTTTCAGAATGAACGAATTAATATGAAATTATTCAGAGTTTGTAATTATTTTTCCAAATTTAAAATGTCTATTAATATTATTTTAAATTCACCCCCATTAATCGGGACAGAGTTTTGTGGATCTCCAATTTAAGCAGGTCTTTGCTATACCTATATTTATTTTCTATTAGTTTAAAGCACCAATATATTAAATTTTATGGTTAAGACGTTAAACTGTTTTGTTTAATTTTATTTTGATCATTTGGTATTCTTACTGAAGTACCTGTTGCAATAATTGTACATAATAAATTGCAAAATAAAATTAAAAAAAAAAAATTGATGATTTCACTACTTGTTGCGCTCATTAATTCAATTATTGCATTGACTACATTATAGGAAGAGAACGTGGAACGTGTGCAATTCAAGGTAGTACAGTACACATTGAAGAGTAGATGAATTAACGATTACAAAATTACACGCAAAACTATTAAAGTCTGCAATACTGTACTGTACTTACAAGAAATGAGTTAAGGTCAACCGATGGCTTGATGACAAACCAAACAGGTTTTTGTGTTTTTACCCGAAGGCACATCGAAAATACAAAGCATAAATTATGTGAATTAAAATACAATAACCTCTATAGAGATAAAACACAACAATTTTAAGAATTAAAATTACTACTCGTGCCTTTTTTTTCCAATGAAATTTTACGTTTATTTAATTTGTTATTACTTCTAGAATTTTTTACTTGTCTTATATACAGCACACTCTTGTTAATAAAAGCACTCGTATACAATATAAAGTAACAGTTATAGTATATTACGAAACACACGTACATGGTTTTATTTAATTTGCAAGAAAATATGAGAAATTCTACCATTAATTTCAACAGTCGATGAGTAGTTTTCTATTTCAGGAACAGAACAAAACGTTGTTATCCTTGAACAATTACTCACAGACTACAACTGGCTCTAGAATATCAGTAACGTTTGGAGGGTAACGACCAACATCTGCAAGTCTTTTACTTTATTCTTTATGTAAGTTATATATATAACTAATTTTACACATTAATCCTTATCGTAAACATAACTTTTCTTTCTCTGTTTTTTAATATTATTTATTGTCTCGTAGATAATGTGTCTCTCACTCCATACAATTAGATAAAATACCCGATAAAATATATTAATACATTAAAATATAACGGATAAGAAACAATACTCTATAATATAACACTATTACTATTATCATTTTTATTTATAATTATTGATATTTTTGCATAAATTTACACTAAATTATGTCTCTTTTTATATTTTTTTAACACTAGTCCTGTTAGCGTAATTAGGTTACGTAAAGTTATGAAATGCCGGGTGGCCCAAAAGTCAATTAAACTTTGTGAAAACTAAAAGTTTTGGTTTATTCGAGTATTTTATTACATGAACTTTTACAAGAATTGTTTAAACAACAATTATTTAACAAAATTCCACGCTATTCACGCGATTAACTGACTTTTGGACAGCCTGTACTTGATTTATTTTAAATAAATTTACTTTTATGCGATAAATATTTATAATTTTTTTCATTAATTACAGTTTAAAATGAATTTTTTTTTACACAATTCAATAGAAAAGTAACTTATACAAATACAATTAATTTCAAAGAATGGAATTAAACACTATACTTAATTATCATTTGTATTTTAAGAACTATTATATGCGCTTCGTAGTGTTTGTATAGTTAAGCTTAAGTACTGTTAAATATTACACCAATATTCTAAAGTTAAAATGAAAAAGTTTCATAACAAAATACCTTACGTCGAACACGTTTTAAGTTTATTCAGTTTAATAATTAGATATAATCGTAATGATGATAAATTAATAAAATTTAAGCATAAAAGCATAATCATAAACTTATAAAAAATGTTATAATGATACAAAATAAATAAATAAATAAATAAATTTTTGAAGAGTTTACATATCATACACAATAGATTTTTTTTTTTTAATTTTTCGAAACAATAAACAATAAAATTACATATATTTGTCGATAATTCTTTGTCTCGTAGGAAATACTATTAACCTAAAAGAAAAAGGGCGTAGAATACGAAATTTTGATTGATAAATAAAAAATATCTAGATATTTACTAATTGCTAACTTGAATTAGAACATTAAGTGAACTTTGACACACAGGTTAAAGGTCATTCGACACCTGAAGTGACAATTTTATTGATTTTCTGTAAATAAAATTGATTTCAAGTAACAGAAATTGTAATTAACTCTAATTAACTTTTAAAAGATTTCTAGTGTTATTTTAATTAAGCAATTTATATACATTTTGTTAATATTTTAATTGTTTAAAGGCTTATAATTAACGCGTAACGATTTATATATTTTTAGGCATAATAAATGCGCGGTAAATAATTATTTAATAAATAGAACATATTAATAGAAACATTTCGGTTTTAAATGTAANATTATTTTTAAATATTAAAAAAAGAGATATTTACTTACTCTTTAAGAAAAACGTTGATTGTAAAGATTTTAAACCTTTAAAAATCTCAAAAAACGGCAGAGCACAAATCACATATGCTAACTAGAGCTTTCTGTACAATTTACAGTGCCTCTCAAACCCAAGAAAGTTTAAATTAAAATTAAACAAAAAATATCTCACATAAAATTAATAATTAGGTATATTGTTGCTTACACTTATCTGTTTTTTTTCAATGTCCCTTTAGCCCTTTTAAATATCTATAAACACAATATTTTTTACATAAAAATTTTTAGTATGAATTTTTCATTTACCGAATTACCGGTAAATTTTTGAAATTTACCGGTAAGTTTACCGAATGTTTTTTTGTCAATTTATCGGTTAACCGGTAAATCGGTAAACCGGTATACAATCCCTAATATATATTATAGAATACACAGGGAATACAAATAAATTTACATTGGTATACAATGCATCCTGTATTGAACGCTATATTGAACACTAGATATTGGCATTATTACAGTGTTTTTGTATTGAATGACAGAATAATGAATTTCAAATAAAGTATAAAAAGAAATAATTGGTATCCAGAAGTACTAAATTTTCTATAGATCTTTAATATATAAAATAGAAAAATAAGAAAGAGTAGACCAAAAGTCAGTTATCTGAGATATAACAAAGTTAGTTAATTCGGTCACCGGACTTTTGGGCCACCCTGTATGTATTGCTTCAAAATTAGGGAAAATATAAAAAAAATTAAAAGAAAAATAAATTGCTTTAGTTATTACATTTAAATATATTACTGTTGTTAATCTGCCATTCANCCCCCATTAATCGGGACAGAGTTTTGTGGATCTCCAATTTAAGCAGGTCTTTGCTATACCTATATTTATTTTCTATTAGTTTAAAGCACCAATATATTAAATTTTATGGTTAAGACGTTAAACTGTTTTGTTTAATTTTATTTTGATCATTTGGTATTCTTACTGAAGTACCTGTTGCAATAATTGTACATAATAAATTGCAAAATAAAATTAAAAAAAAAAAATTGATGATTTCACTACTTGTTGCGCTCATTAATTCAATTATTGCATTGACTACATTATAGGAAGAGAACGTGGAACGTGTGCAATTCAAGGTAGTACAGTACACATTGAAGAGTAGATGAATTAACGATTACAAAATTACACGCAAAACTATTAAAGTCTGCAATACTGTACTGTACTTACAAGAAATGAGTTAAGGTCAACCGATGGCTTGATGACAAACCAAACAGGTTTTTGTGTTTTTACCCGAAGGCACATCGAAAATACAAAGCATAAATTATGTGAATTAAAATACAATAACCTCTATAGAGATAAAACACAACAATTTTAAGAATTAAAATTACTACTCGTGCCTTTTTTTTCCAATGAAATTTTACGTTTATTTAATTTGTTATTACTTCTAGAATTTTTTACTTGTCTTATATACAGCACACTCTTGTTAATAAAAGCACTCGTATACAATATAAAGTAACAGTTATAGTATATTACGAAACACACGTACATGGTTTTATTTAATTTGCAAGAAAATATGAGAAATTCTACCATTAATTTCAACAGTCGATGAGTAGTTTTCTATTTCAGGAACAGAACAAAACGTTGTTATCCTTGAACAATTACTCACAGACTACAACTGGCTCTAGAATATCAGTAACGTTTGGAGGGTAACGACCAACATCTGCAAGTCTTTTACTTTATTCTTTATGTAAGTTATATATATAACTAATTTTACACATTAATCCTTATCGTAAACATAACTTTTCTTTCTCTGTTTTTTAATATTATTTATTTTTTTTAATACCCTAGTACAATGAGAGAGTGTCATTAATAGCGTCGTTACAATCAATCCAAACTATACTTAAGCGAAAATATTAATGGATAAAGAAAAATATGACTTTAATTCACTACTCAATGGTGCGTACATTACGACCACTCAAAGCTCCTACATGCTCCTCTTCTACTGTAAATGTATAATTAAACTCTGCCTGTCTGCATTCGCCACTTAATAGAGATACTGAAGAAAGGGGGGGGAACGATTTATTTTTTCGAAAATTGTAGCAATTTCGACTTCAGCACTTCAATTTTTTTACATTCGAATATAATGGGATGATGTATGGAATCTCCTTAATTATCCTTTATTCAAGTGCGTGTGTTTGAGTAGTTGCATTTTACATTAAAAAAAAAATGTCACTTAACAGTAGTTGTTGTATGTACGCGTGTGTCTTCTGTGTAAATTAATTATGATTATTTTATTATTAATTACAGAAATGGTTGCTACATCACGTGCTTTGGGTGCCTGTGTGATAACTGGTATAGTTACACTAATCTTGGGACTTTTAATTGGACACTACGCCATCAAACCCTCACCACCTAGGCTAAAGAAACCACCACGAAAACCTTATGATGAGCCTGTTGTAGGATTATATTATCCTTCAGTCGAGGATGACGTTATCAAAACTTTTTTGAATGATGTGGATGAAGTTAGGATAGAAAGTAACCTCAGGTAAGTTGTATTTGTTTTAAATTATACAGCGGAACCTGTTTAAAACGGAAACGGTCTGAATTTTCCGTTTTATAGAGGTTAGGTTGTTAAGTCTTCTAGATGATGTATTGTTACAGCCACTTTCTAGACAATGAAAGTATTGTTTTAACAAAGGAAAACAAGGGATAGACTGTAACTACCGTTACCCATGCCGATTGTCATTTAGGATTTTGCTATTGTTACGCCGAAAAGTTTCTTTTTATACAGTTTATAACCCGAAAAAGACGAAAAAAAAAAATTCGTTTCTGTCTTTGTCCATTTTAGACAGGTTTTGCTATAAATTTTTTTTCAATTCTCTCCCATAAAATATGTTAACCAGTCATAAATTTTTAGAGAATTATCGAAAAAAGCCCACATTGCCGCAACGCCCAGGGACGAAGAATTAGCAGAATTGATTCGAAGAAGATGGAAAGACGAAGGATTCGATTATGTGGAGAAGAAATATTACGATATTCTTTTATCATATCCCACAAAGGAACACAATAGAGTATGACATTTTTGCATATTTAATCAAACTTAAATCAATATTTGAATTTAATATATCAACAGTATCAACAAGCGTATCAATGGAGTCACATAGTATCTATACACAGAAAACTCCGTGTTTAATGACACGGTTCGAGTGAATGACGGGATATTTATTTCTCTATAACTTGTATTCTGTGCAATTTCATTGTTTCTAAACACGTCTGTGGTTCGGTCGAAGGAGTTTTAACAATAGCGCAATACGTTGTAAAATATAAAAATATTTAACTGAGTACGAACATGAAGGTAACTGCATGATAACGAGAGCTTCTTGATTTATAGTGTTTTTCTTTATTATTTTAAAGGTCTGTATTGTAAATAAGTATAATCAGTGCCAATATGAAGCAGCTAACAGAGAAGTAGTAGTCGACGAGCAAGACACCTACGCTTACGCTTTTAATGGTTTCTCTCCACCTGGTGATGTTACGGTAAGATATTTAATGGAACGTAACAGTAACGGAAATGACGTAATTAAGATACATTTTTTTTCTTCCCCTCTTCGATAGGCAGAACCCGTTTACGTCAATTACGGAAGAGTTGAAGATTTCGATGAATTGGAGAATTTAGGAGTGAATGTTTCTGGAAAAATCTGTATTGCGCGATATGGGAAGATTTTTAGAGGAAATAAGGTAAGATATTTTTTAAAATTAATTATTTTGATGGGATTAAAGAAGGTTATTGTTATAAAAGGGTGGATATGTGTCAAGAACAAACATTACTCTTTCTCAGAAAAGTTGCAAAACAACACAGTATTAATGTGTTCAGTATAATTTCATATATTTATACTCTCCCTCTTTTTGTGTGTGTGTGTGTTTGTACCTTTACATGCACACTCCCCTACTCTCTTCTGTTACACTTTGTTTCTCCTCACGCTCTATACATTTACACCCTCCTCCCTTGCTCTTTATAATACTTTTACACTTTTTCTTCCTCGCTGTCTACACATTTACACTATTTTCCTTGCTCTCTCTATACCTTTACACTCCTCTCCCTCATTCTCTACATCTTTACATATACACTCCTGAATTGCAGCCTGTTTTAGATAGGTTGCTTAGGACCTCGATACCATGAATTTTCATTTTCTAGGCTTGTAGGCTTTGCATAGTATCGAATACAGTGTGATACATGTTATATAAAAGGGCCTTACATTCCACTCGTACTAATAATCCACATTATATTATTACAGTAATAGAGTAACTCATTGAGTGTATCTATCACTGATTTCATTTAAATTTAAGCATATTTCAGAGAATTAGTTGATATGTTTCTTGCTTGTCTTAAAAGTTTTTTAAATACCACAATATTTAAGTTACAAACTACTAATTTTTATAAGAAGTTAAATCTTATAATCGTTAATTTAAACAAATAAAATACATTTTTTTTTTCGAAATTTAAATTAAAAATAATACAATTATATTCTTATCTAACTTCAAGAATTTCAATACATCGGTTGAATTCTAAAATTCTAAAATTTTCAATGTCAAATTACGACTTCATTACGTTTAATTTTCTGTACTTAATTATGTCCGCTCGAACGTAAAATGTATTTAAATACTTCACGCTCTTGAAATATTTCGGCTTCGTGCTGATTTTGAGTGAATAATTTATCTCACGCTTGTATAATTCGTCATTTTAGAGAATATTTTTATTATTTCAAAAATTATTTGAAGAATAAATTCATAGGTCTGTTTGTAACGTGTAAGCAACTCTTCGAATTTCTAAGTTTGTATTTAAAATCAGGCTTTAAAGAGTTAACCATTATTTTTTAAAGACTCAGTATTATATATTTGCTTAAAATCTTTTCTAAATGGCAATTACACATCTCTCCTGCAAGATCTTTTAAATACATTAATAATAATTTAATTCAAATTAAATTTTATTTTAGTCGAATGAAGTATTAAAACAATTTAACTTGAAAAGATTTAAAATGCCAAGTCATATCAGCACACTGTAAAGTATTAAAATCAGTTTAATATAAATGTGGAATATCCAAAGATTGAATAAATGTTTTATATTCTAAACAGATAAATGGCATGTAAGAATAATATTTTGATGAATAAAAGAGCAGATAAAATCAAGCATATGATGCAAATCGTTTAGGTGTCACGATACGTTGAAAATCTTTGCATGTTGTGCAGCTGCTGTTGAAATTCCTCGGCATTTACGGTACGCACGAATTGAATATCAGATAAGTTCTTGGAAATAATTCAGTTTTTTCTACGAAATTTACCTAATTTCAAAACGATTTAAGCAAAAAATATTTAAACTCGATTGATATTTACCTTCCTGGCTAATTGTTCGATTATATTTATTCGTATTAATCAGCAATTAGCTTTAAAACGTTGTTTTAAAATACACGTGTTTGTAACCTATACACTGACACGTGTATACGTAAGTTCAGATTAATTATACATATACTTACTGTTTTTGTTGTGTGCTGTATTTTTCTCTTTACATGCCCGTTTAGTGTTAAGTTTTGATTAATTTTTTATACCTTTAGACCACAATGTAGTCTTCATCATAATTTTTCCAAAAAAAATCATACCAGTCGGTCAACCTGTATCGTTAAAAATACGCGCATTTAATACCGTTTGTGTATATAGGTCTACTTGTATGTGAGATTTGGTGACGAGAGCTGTACGCAGTTTAACAATAAAACATTTAATAATTACCTGAAAGTACTATTTACAATAACTAAGTGTAAGCAACTGATTGTTCCTTTGATGTACAACAATCCAGGCTCAGAACATCTACTTCATCCTTTGTTTCTTTCTCTTCTCTTCTTCCTTTTCTTCTCTCAGAGCTTCCCGTCTTTGCCTTTTTATTTTCTCCTAATTGTTTGATGTCTGATGATTGGTCGGATTATGCCTTCCATCGGCCGATCTGTTTGTGACGAACTTTGAGTTGCAAGCAAACGATAAGAAGGAAAAACAAAACAACAATAACAAAATAAAGAAAATTAATTAATTTTGGCTCACATATATTTTTTAATTAGCAAATTTCAACTGAAACACACTTGAAAATCACAATATTGTAGATGATTACTGTCGTCGCATTATCATTTTCAGTAGAAAATTAATCTGGAATAATATTTTAACTGGTGTTAGTGCCCTCCACCAGTGATCTACTGAATAAAATAACTGAACTGTTGGTAGCGGGTTTGCTCCGGATAACGATCTGGCCGCGAGATTTTCCGGGTTTTTTTCACGTGCCTAATACCCTAGTGGCCAATTTCGTATAGAAAGTCCTTCCAGGAGGTATCCCCTTTGGCAGATTACCCACGTGCTGCGTTGCTTTGCAGTATCCCAACAGAAAACTATCAGTCATCAGCCCATTAGGACACATTCATTTTTGCCTCTTCACCTTTGTAGTAACTTAAAGGTTTGAATTTGTAATTGAATATTTTAGAAATTATCTCTGAGAGGTGGGATAGAGACTAGGCTAGTTATTTACTGTATATGTTGATACCTTTCTGGTGAACCAGATTCCTAGAGAGATCTTCCAAGAATTCAATAAAACTGATGAGTGCCCATGATAGATTGCTCATGCTGGGAGAACTTTTATAGGAAACTGATCTCTTAGGTGTTAGACTTGGAAAAACTCCATACGCCCATTCCGTTGGTTAAGCTCACGGGTTGTTCACCCGTATATTGGGGACTTTGGGCACGTGCAACCACATTCCTTGTTTTCGAGACTAATTTATCCCGAGTGCAACCAACGCCACTTTGCCGGAACGCTGATCCGACGTTGAATCATAATTTAAAGCTTTTAGTCCGCTGGCGCCATTGGTGAAGCCTATGGCACCCGCGGACTAAAAACAAACGAAAACGTTAGTAAAAGTACTATTTCGAGTTAATTTGTGCCGGTTTCAGATGTGTCTTTGTTTAGATGAAACTTGAACCCACGATCAATTAACATGTTCAGTGGTGTGTGTGTTAAGGGAATTTATACTATTATATTTTTGGGATGGGGAGATAAAAGGGTCAGACTTAATGGCGATTTTACTTATTATTAGCATTTACAATATTTTATAAAACCCATTCCTACCCTCGAAATTAAGCTTTTTGCTATTTTATAGTAGTTAAAATATAAAAAGTTTTTAAAATAAAACACGATAACAGATGGCGCCACCAAATGTTGTCGGGGAAAGTTAAGCACCTCATTGCTAGATTTTTTGAAACGCTATTATTTGAAAATGGTTCACTGTGTTCTTTCAGAAAAGCAATTAAAGTTATAGTTAATTGAAATTAACTATTACCTTGCAGACGGTTTACTGTTCAGATGTATGTAAATAACATTATATAATGTTAATTTAAATCCAAAAAAATGAGAATAACCATTAATTAAAACGTTTTTAAACTTTGAAATATTTTAAAGGTTGAAAATGCAGAAGATAGAGGTGCAGTTGGAGTAGTTATGTTCCTTGATCCTTCCGAAGTAGCTCTAAATGGTACGGATGCAAAATACGTGTATCCAAATTCTTGGTGGATGCCCGGTGATGCTATGCAAAGAGGATCCGTCTACGTTGGAAGCGGAGATCCTTTAACTCCTGGTTATCCTTCCACAGGTATATTTTATACTTTTAGAGTAACAGTATTTACGGCCCTACTATATGACGCTCCTGAATGGGAGGTGGTTAAGGCGCCATACTACCGTTCTAGAGGACCCGGAATTGAATCCGAGCAGTCGACACATGGATCATTCGTTTTTTACGAATGGTCTATCTGCCGTGTCCCCATCCTCAACACCCGTTCACATCCATTGTGGGCCTGGCCGAACCCACGATGGACTTTCTGGGTCCATCTTGGATTCCAAGATGGAAAGGCTTTCTTGATGCCCACAAAAATCCTCCCCTCGATAGATCCGATCAGTCCTGTTGCATTACCTTATCCCATTAACTAACCAGTCTTTCTATGCTGCGGCCGTTCGTATCGTTGCAGAAGGGTTCCAAATCAAGGCAACGGTTTCTAAATTAAACCGGGTATTAATTTTTTCCATAAAATGGAGGAGAGAAATAAAAGCATACTATATACAGTTTACAAGGTAACAAAACAGTGCTTCGCACTTTCCTTTTATACGTTATCCTATATCTTAATGTTTCGTTAAGCAAAATTATTCATTTGGAACCGAAAGATACTGTATCATGATAATTTTCTTCTAAAAAGTCGTATATACATTTTAAACTAATCAGATGCTAGAACAGAGGTGTAGCGAACATAACTGGCACCCGGTGCATGATACACCTCATTGCCCCTCTCGCTACGCCACTGTGCTAGAATAACTTGCATAAATATGAAGATGAGTACTAAAATCGATAATCCTTTACGAAGAATTAAAGGATTGAAAACTTGGCATTATTTTTATTTCTTTCATTGCATAATGCTTGATCCTCTATTAACTTTCTGTACATCTGCAGCTGCATGGTGAGTGGTAGGTACAATACCTTCAATAATAATTAATGCGTATCAATTTAGTAGTTGACTACTAATTCAATAACTACACTGCACAGCATGGACTAAAATTACAATTCATATAATCAATTATCTTGATTGCAAAAAGAAAATACTATGTTCTTAATAATGTCAAAAGGTACTGTATCCATGCAAATTTTTTACATGTATCCATGCACACAACTGCATTACATGGAATCGAGGATTACAATGGTTTTTAATGTTATATCCTTTATACTACGTGGATTATCTACATATAGTATTTTTAAACTATTATTCATATGGATATTACTGTTCTTTTAGTTTAAATTTAAATTTTTCGTTGCCCTTTACAGATAAACTTGTAGAAAAACATTATAAAAGCCCAAATTGATTAAATTTTCTTCTTAAATTTAACTAGATTCCGTTTATCGATACGACATAAACGAAACGGTTTTGCCAAAAATTCCCGCCCAGCCAATTGGTTATAACGATGCCAGACATATTATGAGGTATTATTTATATAAATTATTATTATATCATTAAATCATTATTTATATAAATTATTTAAATATGTTGTTATATATTTTAAATAATTATGTATATGTGTATAGTTTAATGGCAGGACCTATGGCTCCCGCTAACTGGACGGGAGGACTTAACATCACGTATCATTTGGGACCAGGATTCAACAGTGAAAATGCCGAAAAGTAAGTTGGTCAAACATTTTATTTAAGTCTTGAAATTTGAAACTATCGTTTTCAAGTACTAATCTTACAAAGCATCGCGAGAAACAATACACGTGCTACTGACTTGAGGAATAACATTTGAAACTCCTCACTAACTTCGTTAACTCCAACCAATGAACACTGGGTTTGCGCCCGATCAACGGGATTTTTAGGGTCATGTGCCAAACATCTAAATAGGGTCAGTTTCCCACAAAATATTTCCTGGGAGATATTCTCCTCGCCGTGTATCGCCGTAAACGAATAAAACCAAACGAAATGACAAGGATCTCAGTCTCTGCCAGTCTTACTTAAACCAAGAAAATATGATCTCTGCTTATAATGTGGATACGCGCCTAGACGATGCATGTATCAGATACACTGACAAGCCCTTCTGATAGAAGAATGTAGGAACACAGTTAAGACATTTATATCGGGAAGGAAAACACTGCTCTGACTTCGTTTTCGAAATTGGACTGTTCTGTTGTGCATTGGGGAAAAGCTCAAATCATTAGAAATGTAAGAAATCCGATCCTTGTCCACCATCGACCTATATATATTATTCTTCTCGATACATATATTGAGAAGAGTACTATATATATATATAGCAGGGTCGTCGAGAGATGCGGAGGGAGGAATTTTTCCTCGGATCCAGAGAAAATTTAGGAGACCGTAATGCTTCATAACCCTATAAAATTAATGTTGTACAAGGTATTTACTAACAGGATATAACAACTTTTAAGTCTTCTTTTTATTAACAAGGAAACATTTTAAACATTCTACGTCTTTCATTCTTCAAAAACAAAAAACAAACAAAAAATTAAAACTAAAGGGACCCTCTACCCGGCACCACGAAGCTAAAATTAGCAAGGAATTATCTAAACTCCAGCGATTGTAATACACTTTCATGCCTTGAAGATTCGCTTCGAGGGAATGACTAATGACTATAGAGATTAATTTTTATTGGGCTGCATTGAAAAAGTAAATTTCCACTATCGTCCGTCCGTCTGTCTGTCTGTCTTTCCTTCCTTAATCTCGAGGACGGAATTAGATGAAAGACGAGATTAAATATGGAAAAATTAGGGATAGGAATCCCCGATTAACTATATACGAACCTCCGATGCAAACGGAAGTTACGTTATTTCAATGCAAATATTTCCTCCCGAAAGGTGTTAAATAGATGACCGGCACGACTCTATCGTTAAAGGAAAAGTATGATGTATAGGGGCAAGACACTACTAATTTGATGTGGAGAGCATATACAGTATTGTAAATTAAATAAATTAAAAATTGCAGCCCGGCATTGTGACTGATGTCACAATAAACAATTGCTCGTTCATTATATTTTTATTTATTTTCACGAAGTGCGATATTTATTGCATTTATAAATTTTTGGTAATTATTTCCTTTATATTTCTATCAGTTTTTTTTTAAACTCTGCCTTGCTAAAAAAGCCTTCTTTAGTGTTTTTTATCGAGTCCATTATGGGTTCGGCCAGGCCCATACTAGGCGGCCGGATGGTGACGGACGGGGCCCGACTTATCCGGACGGATCAACCCCGAAAAGTTTTTGGGATTTTCGATCCAAATAGAAGTTCAAGTCAAAATGTTTTCTTCTCGTTAAACTCCTATGTGAGTTACTTCCTGCAGTGAGCATTACAATGTGCGCTTCATCGTAACGGCTTCGCAAGGTATATCGGATATCCTGGCTAAAGTTTGGACTCGCGACACTTCAATTTATTATTTCAGACAAAAATTTCGTGGAAGTGTGTGTTGGCATCTATTTCGTCTAATATCTCAGAATGGGGTAGAGATTAAGAAACGAAATTTGGCATAACAACTTCCATAGAAGAAGCATTGATACTATTAAATTTCGGTCGAGGAAGTGGGGAGATAGAAGGGGTTACGGATCATATCTCGAGAGGGATTGGACTTGCTCGTTATTAACATTTAAAATCTCGTCTCTACCTTCGAAATTGTTTTGTCATTTTATAAGAATTAATACTGTAATATAAAAATTTTTTTATGATGAAATCTCAACAGATGGCGCCACACACAATTTATCTATCTATATATATATAGGCCTAAATAAGAATGTAAATGTTCGTTTGTTCAAAATTTTAAATCTCCGAAAGTTCTTAACCGATTGCTTTAAAATTTTGACACACCGTTGTATTCGGATACGCGCGTTTTTATATATTATATAGATGTCGAAATCCCCCGCGGGGGGAGAGGGACAAAATTAAGGCTGACCGTGAAGAACTGGTCTATTATTCTATTTTATATGCGGTTTTTTGCGTTTTAATAGGGTACGTCAAGAGAATGTACACTAAGAAGGGATTTTTCGAAATTCCCCTCCCCCGCGGGGAGTGTTATACATTTATAATACATATATATTATTAACTTGCTGTGGCTCAAAATGTAAGTTATTTTTGAAATAAAATCTCTTAACAGCAGCGAATTTTGATTAAAAAAAAAAGTTTTTTAATCAAAATTAACGGCGCCATTTTAAAAAAATCGCGGATTTTTTTTTCTTGAGAGTGCTATTTAATTAATTCGCCTTGCCTGTAGTACTTTCGAATGTAAATTTCTAGAAAATTACTTTTATTTCGTGCGTAATAAATTCGAACAATTGTTTTAAAAGGCAGAAATAATTTTTCAAGCCTGCTAGTAGCGCATTTTGATAATTTGCACGTGCGATGCTTTCCACCCCATAGACCGAGAGCGTGCTGGTTAGCCCAGTGATTAAAAGACACGTAAAACGGGCCATTCGTATTACATTTATCGATACTTTCTGTATTATGCTATCCGGCACTTTCTTTGTACCCTCGCATTTGTGATGTAAAATTTATTACAAAACCTGTATTACGGTAAAATATAATTAAATAAAATTTTCTATATATATAACACGTTGGAAAGATTTTAGATATTTGCGTATGTCACCTTGCCAACCATTAGTATTTCCCACACTAAAGATTGGCAAGTATGCTGTTTGAAAACAATTGTACAAGAAAAAGCATTCGGTAAAAATTAAGCACAGTATAAAATTTCGTGAATATTTTGGGCTGGTAGAGTCTTCTGTTATTTTTAATTGCCTGCAGATTATTATATGCACAATATAAACGTTCGCAGAATGCTCAGGATCGAGGTGAACAACGAATTTAAAAGAATGAAGAGCAGCAACGTGATAGGATTAATAGAAGGCAGCGAAGAACCAGGCAAGTTATTGGTGTCCTCCAACTTAATTTCAATATGGAATCAAAGTAAAATTGGAAAATTTCTTCGTTAGATCGTTACGTATTGATAGGAAATCATCGCGACGCTTGGGGGTACGGAGCCGTCGACCCTTCTTCGGGAACGGCGCAGCTTCTGGAGGTTGCCAGATTGTTTGGCACGCTTCATCGGAACGGATGGAAACCCAGAAGATCCATCGTATTTTGTAGCTGGGGTGCGGAGGAATACGGTCTCATCGGTTCGACGGAATGGGTCGAGGTGATTGGGTTTGCCAAATGCTTTAACATTTCTTACTCTTTAAGGATTAACCTGGCGGTTCTTTCAGGAACATCTACATGCCTTAATGGAACAAGCCGTCGGGTACATAAACACCGACATTTGTGTTTCAGGTACTGTGCACGTAAGAACAAATTTTAAAAATTATTTACTGAAATTTAATCTCTGAATATAATTGGTAGGTGACGTGTTCTCTCCGGCCGCTTCGCCCGTGCTGGCCGAAATATTGAGAAATGCTACCAAATTGGTAAGTTTCTAAAACTAAATTAGCCACAAATTGAAATCAAAATGCTTTATAAATGTAATATAATTGATACCATGTTTATTAGATATCAGATCCTTCGAATCCCGAGAAGACCATGTACGAAGTCTGGAAAGATCATGTTAATAAAACAGACACCAGCTATAATCCACCGTGAGTATGAAATTTTTTAACAAGTCTTGTTTATTATACATAGAGTTTCAGTTTGATTTGAAATGTATGTAGTCCTCTACAATTATGGCATACCCTTTAATCTGGACTGAAATCCTTGCAACTGTCTTCTTGTTTGTGGAAGGACATCGAGTTTAGCCAGCATTGGCTCAGACTAACCACATTGCACAATCCCTCTATTCCACACCACATTAACTTGTTTTACTTACCATGCAAGTGTCAGTGTTATCAAACGTAAACATATATTAAATTGAACTGGTGCTTGTAAGACAACACTACATTCCACATCACTAATATTACGTTGTATATAAAATCACTTTAATTGGATTTGGTTGATTTTTTTTCTCACAGCCACACCCATATATATATATATATATATAAAATCAGTTTATATATAAGTATTATACAGCACCCATACTACATAGTAATTTTAACCCAGGGTAAGCCGATCACATTAATCCCACAAGGGTTTGGGTTTTGAGTGCTGGAAAGTCAAGGGTTGATATTTCAATAAGGAATTTTTGAGAGAATGAACTTCTGGACTAAGAGAAAGTTTAGAGAGATGCAAGTATTAAGCTAACACCAGAATCTTTTTCCTCTTTTACCCTCTTCTTGGGCTAAATACAGTGTGTATGTCCATCACCTTTCAACCTGCAACTTTGAAAATACTGTACATTATTTATATTAAGCCAATTGTAAATTAATGTGCTGGAAATGTCATAAGACATAGAATTAATTAATTTTAATTATCTGTTCTCTAGATACCAAGAAAACATTTAAATGTGTATCTTTTTAAACTCAACATATTCTGTACTTTTAAATGTTAAAAAAGTGAATGCTTTGTTGTGTTAGTTGGATTTTCGATAGACTTTGCCATTGAAAAGTCATTAGATCAAATTCATTAAATTTTAGTCCCAAAAATTCTGACTTAATTATTCGACAGAATTTTTGAAATTGGAAGAACACTAAAAATCTTTCTGTTGGGGTTTATACATTATTCTGGACAGTTTATGATTAATCTCAATAAGTGTATGTGCTATGATGGCAATGAATGTGTTGACATAATTACACATCTTTTCTCAAAAGATTAGTTTTTGAGATTTTGGTGTTTGAAAATGAAACCAGAAAACACTACAAGTCTGTTTAATGAAAGATGAAATACCAGAATTAATAATCAACGATTGTCATTTGATTTAAGATTTATGTCAGTCCGACATGTAAAAATTGGGATAAAAGACAATTGGTGACCTAGTGTTAGGGTTAAGCAAGTATATGCTTTGATAGAAGAATGAGATGTGAAATTTAATGAAAATATATACACTGTATAATAAATTAATGTGTTCATTTCTGATTTTTATAAATTTAAACTGAAAACTAATTTTTACAATGTTACACTTTCCAGAGTGAAAACTTTAGGTTCCGGAACTGACCACGCTCCATTTTCATTTTTTGCTGGCGTACCCGCCATTGACATCACTTGGTCGCCTGACAGGGTGCGATTTTAAACTAACAATTCTGTAAATTTTGACATTTTAAAAAAATTGATTATCTTTTCTTCCACACAGAAAAAATATCCAATTTCGGGTTATCCACCCTATCACACCGCTTACGAGACGTTCGAAATGGTGAAAAATTTCATCGATCCACAGTTCTCGAGGCACAAGAAATGTGCCCAATTAGGTGGCATTCTGACTCACATGATTGCAGATTCCACCATAATTCCTTATGATTTAGAAGAAATGGCCAAAAAATTAAAAAGCATCATTGAAAATTTTGAAGTGAGCGGAATTAGTGATAAGCTCAATAAAATTGGAATCTCGCTAGGTATGTTTTTCCATATGATAAAACTAAACTAATTCCATACATAATTGACATTTATCTATATTTATAGATTTATTAAAGACGGCACTTGACGAGTTTCAACAGCAGACGGAGATCTGGCATATGAAACTAAGTCAGATAGAACTGGAGGAGTAAGTTTATATTATAACTAGACAATGAGCCTGGTATTGCTCAGGCAAAAAGTAACCATAGCAAAGATTATTAGATTATAGCTGATCTTGCACATTTTCACAGGGTGAACCTAATGCATCCTGTGCATTAGGTTCATCCTACAAAATTTTTAGATGGGTCTAAAAATATGTTTGACTTCCCACAAACATCACAGAAGTACAGAAGCTGACTTCTTCAGGATAATCCTTAACCCTCTCCCCCTCCCCTGCAGGGGGATTTCCAAAATTCCTTCTTAGTATGCATAGGAGTTGAAAGTTGACACACTGTATGCTAACCATTTGGGCTCTGTGCTTATTATTATAAGATTGAAAAAAAATTAGAAACCATTAAATGGCTGAATGGAGTAATATTTTTGTATTTCTGTTAAACTTAAGTAATTTACGTCAATTTATATATGGACAGTCAAAAAGTTCCTGGAATTGTGGTATATCATTGTAATGGTAGAACATATGGAAATGCTCACCCAATCACCTGCTAAGTGGACACTTCAAGCACATGCACATATTTGTCCCATCAATCCTGTTGTTGTCAGAAGCACTATTGGAAGACTTCTTATATGATATTCAGGAGTTTGGCCATCGCTTTCAATTTGATGTTCTCCACAGTTGTGAAACACATCTCCTCAAGAACCATTTTTGACGTAGGAAATGACAAAAGATTGCTCAGCATGAGTACAGTGGTTGAGTGACAACGGAAATCTTTTCTTGGCAATGAATTGCTGCACAAGTGATGAGTGATACCTAATTAACATAATACAGAAACCACCCTCACCACCACTTCTCATGCCATTTCCTCCAAACTATGCAAAACCTGCATGTAGAAATGACTGTACCACCTGGACAGTGCATTACTAAACTCATGGTGCAGCACACTATCTATATCAAAGAATGCAATGAGTGCAACAGCTGAACTCTTGAATATTCCAAAAGAAGCCTTCCCAGTGTGCACACACCAATGTCCTACTTTGATTAGGTAAGCATTTCCACAACCTACCATTACAGTACCATACCACATTCAGAGAACTTTTTCACTGACCATGTATCAAGATCAGCAAGATTATTCCTGATCCAAAATTTGTTATACATAACAAAAAAAAAATTATATAAAACTTGTGATTCTGACTCTTACAGTACAATCAAAATAGCAGTGAATATATGAATTCCACTTTATATTTAGATAATAGGTTATTTTATCCAACATTGTTAATACACAGGGAGCCCAGTGTATTAGTCCACATTATTCAACTGTTCACAATTTTTAAGACGACAGATCATCACTGGATAATGATGACGCCAACATGCATTGCATTGCAATGCGCAGGTTCTATTTAGATCACAAAATAAAAATGTATTTTTCCTCTCTTCCAGTGCAATTAAAGTGCGTGCAGCCAACGACAGGATGATGCAAATGGAAAGGGTGTTTATTAAACCAGACGGAATTCCGCTGAGATCGGATTATAGGTAAATTTTTGATATCCAAAGCAAAAAATCGAAATACGATTTTAATTTTTGATAATTATTCCCAGGAACGTAGCGTTTGCACCCAGTCAGTTTGATCAATATTCCAGCAATGGATTTCCTGCCGTGATGGATCTCCTGTACGGCTATGACAAACTGCCGACGGAAGAAATGGAAGAACGTAAGAAACTAATAGAACGCCACATTTCTGACCTGACCGTTATTGTAAATATGGCATCTTCGTTTCTTAAAACGCATCCATTACTTTAGGAATTTCCAGCTCTGTAAAGATTTTATCGTCGTCGTCGTCGTCATTTGATATTTAAAAATCAAGAAAATCTTAATTCACAAAAAAGCCACATAAGTTGACTTTTTTTATTTTTCAAAAATAATTTTTAAACAATTTAACAGTAGTTTTATTACAACAAAATAGAAAACAAATTCAATTACGCTTCACATGGCCGCCGCTACGGTTTTATTATTCAAGATTTCTATCCAATAGCCATCGGGATCTTGAATGAATGCTATGTGCTTCATTTTACCTGAAAGACATGAGAAAATAATGGTAAATGTCATGCTTTTTTTACAAGTCATAATTTGATCATGATTGTTGAACTTCTTCAATTTTCTTACAAAGTTTGATAGCAAATATATATTTCACACACAATATTGGATCTGTATCACTTATGAAAAATTAGAAGTCTGGTCCCGAACAGTCCAATATGGCAAGTGATATGTACTGATGTTAATTATGTAATAGTAGTAAATTTTTATGTGAAAAAATGATAATTATTTAATAAAGTAAAATGCAATTTTTTTGTAAATATTAAAATCAGATACTTAACATTGGTCTATGATTATTTTAATGCTTAGCTTTGTCAGCCTGAAGTTAAAATTAAAATTAAACTCACCATCAGAAGGTCTTTTGACAAACTTGACTCCCAGACTCTCGAAGCGTTCGCAGGCTTTGTTTACGTCGGGCACCATAAGTCCTATGTGTCCTGAAATTTTATTTTAAATATATAATTTAAAATAAAAACCAAACACAGACATAACTAAAAAGGCTCTTTGTTTTCTTCCAACTAATGAAGAAATTACAATGCACTTATTAGTAACATTTTTGAAAATGACAGTTTAGACGGTCATTCCAGACCCAATCGCTAGTGATCCTGGGGAGGACTATTTACTGCATTGTATGTACTGATCCTCGATCTATCCGACATGCACTATATATACAGTAGAGCATCGTTTATCCGAATCAATTGGGGAATGGGGTTGTTCAGATAACCGATTAAATACGAAAAAATATATTAACCTATCCCATGTTGAAATTTTTCTCTGTTGCGTATTGCTTCGTGTTGAATTTTTGTTGATGTTAAGCCTAACGAAAACTTTTTAAAATAATAACTTAATAAAATAATAAAAATTTTTAACGATAAAATATTGTATCGTTAAAAATTATTTTTTTATTTTGTACAAATAAAATAAATATATTGAAAAATATAAAAACCAAAAAAATATACACTTTAGAAGTTGATCTACTATCAAAAACGTTCGATTTAACATGACACAGTCCTCAGAAAAACATCACACAATAGTGCCAGTGCTGCCAGCTAAAACACACACACACCAACGAAAAAAATATTGGAGTAGCCCAAGATATAGCCAAAGATTACAGCGCCACAGCGCCAGCGAAAATTTAAATTTGCCGACTGGAATGCTTTCGGATAAACGATGCTCTACTGCATATATATAAAAATTTTAAAAAATAGAAGGGGCTTTACAGCCACTCTACAAAATGAGGTCACATTTTGGGTCTCCAAGTTAAAGAATATCTCTACAAACTAATGTTATGCACTTCTGATTCTTATAAATGAACAAATGATATTTTACAAGCTTATTTTTTAGGACTCTTTTTTAAACATTAAAATACTTGAAAACTTGAATCTATTAACCTTATATATAATATTTAGAACTAGATAATCTTTTCTCAATGTATTCATATGTCTCTGAACATGCTTTACTTTTTATCCTTCGACTCTACACCCTAAGAGCCTTAAATTCAATTAAATATTACATAACCACACCAATTCAAAGTTGCCTTTGTGTTTTACAAAATGAATGGCTACGTCTGGATATGCCACGACAGAGCATGCATATTTTAAGACAATAACAAGGAATGAGTTTAACTGTAAACCATATGCAAGAATATATTAATTTTCATGTAATACAAATTGTGAATAATTAACCATCAGAATCAAATCTGCAAGTATGGAAATGTAATTTATTAAAGAAGTCAATTATGTATGTATATGAATATACAAAACATTTCTAAAGGAAATTTCACATCTCAGATGCAATGACTGAACAATAAGTAAAGATAATCCTCAGAAAGCATTTAATTGAACATCCGAGGACAAGAAGGAAGAACATTTAACTTCTGTAACATGCCACGTTTTGATAATGGAACTTATGGTAAACAGTTGAGAAGCCAAGAAGTGCTTTTAAGGAATATGAACATTTAAGTTTTTGGCTCTACAAAGGACTTATCACACACTATTGAGGTTGTTGGAGTAATCAAACGGAAGTGGGTAAACACTAGTGATTGCAAATTACTAGGTATTATATTACCAGTAATTTCATATTAACAAATGATTTAAAATGAAACTGAATTACTGACAGAATTATTTGGCAACCATTTATTTTCAAGTTTTCTATCAGTTTAGACAAATTTCCCAATTCTTGTAATAACAATTATCATGACATAAGAAACATTGAAATAATGCTGATAATTATGTTTTTCTTTATTTTGAAAGTAGGTTTTTAACAAACATAATACATGTAGGCTCTCGTCATTTAATCTATGTAGATCTAATTTTCGTTCAAATGGCAGCTGCATTAGAAAAAGCTCTCTCAGAATCAACACTAGTTGGATGTACTGTCATTAGAGCATTGAAACCTCTTTAAGATATGTTCCTTGTATTTTTTGCACTAAGAAATAATTCATTTTTTTTAAACTATATCTTTCACACTTTTAAACTTACTTATATTACTGTTATCAGTGTCTATGCTCGTTTTATGTTTAATGAATAAGTCCAATTTCTCTTTCATTGTTAAATTTGACCTTTCTATTGTGCAATTTGTTCTCGTGTTGACGTGAGAAGTTGATGGTTTAGTAGGCAATGAACACCTCTCACCAGAATCTGAGTCTGAACTAATTTTAGTGACATCCACAGGTAATAATTTGTTTTCATTTTCTGATAAGTGCTTGACTGTTTCTACAATCCCATTCAAAATTATATTTTTGTTAACATTATTGGATATTTTGTATAACTTATATTTGTTCAATTTTCTGGGTTATTTTCCTGTATATACTCCAAAATCAAGACCCATTTTTGGAGTATAATACAAGCAATCAAGTTATAAAAAGACTAGAAAATTCCTTTTAATAACCTTAAATTACAAATGGAATGACCTATCACCACTTGCACTGTTTTCTCACTATTGTATGGGGGAGACAAAAATAATCTGCTTTCCACGGGTATTTCCCATGGAAATTTTAGGAAAATAAATATCGAGTTAATTAAGAGGTTTTTTTAAACTGAAATACTGGTAAAAAATTAATTACTGGTAATGCAATCACTAGTAGGATGGCTTTATTATGATGATGGTATGCATTTCGAACAGGCTGTCTGTCCCTCTTCAGCCATATTTATTACAATTTGGTGGGTTTACAAGTGTTTACTCCAACAATGTCAATAGTGTGCAATAAGTCCTTCATAGAGCCAAAAACTTAGTGCTCATAGATTTGTATTGCAACATAAAGACAAAAAGCAAATCACCGATGCTTTTAAGGAGTTTAAAACAGACTCAAAACTTTCATAATAAACAGCAAAAACAGTAAACATTTTTTGTGTACAATGCCACTGCTGTTTATTTTAAGTAACCCACATTAATTATAAGTAACGTATTTAATCGACAATGATAATTTCAGTTAATCTGGATAAATCTAATGGTAATATTGATAGGTTGGACTTGTTACTTTTAAAGATAGATTAATTAATCCATCAAAAGTGCAGAAATTAAATGCCAAGATTTATTGCCAAATAAAAAGTTTAAACGTTGTTTATAATTTTCTGATAATAGTTAAATAACCCGCATTCAAAATAAACTTTAATCTCAAAATGAAAGTAAAGATTACATACCGAATCCTCGGGGGTCAGAATTTCCATTATGGTAACTCTGATCCGGGTCATTCTCGGTTCCCCAGTTGCTATGCAACAGTATTAGATTACACATTTATTTTGCAAACAAATTAAAAATTTCTGAATGTCTGCCTACTGTGTCAGTTCTAGGGTCGCCTTCCTGGACATGGCCCACTCGCACCTGGCTTTGGGATCTTCGGGTATGTCCGATGCATTTTCATAGCCCATAAAGAAGAGAGAGAATTTCATCTCGGGAAAATCCATCTTGTGTAGCAACCTTTTTAATAAGATTATAGTTTGGATCGGCTCACCAAAATAAAAATCAAATTAACTTCTAAATCAATATCAGCTGATCTTACCTCATGCCAAGAACCCTTGTATAAAAGTCCAATGACTTCTTGGGATCTTTGATTCGGTACATTGTTTGTTGGAATATGAAGTCCTGAGAATACAAGAATAACAAAATGTTTGCCAAAATTAATTGATAATAATGAAGAAAGCATAAAGTTACCTTTGTGCTAGGATCCGGTTCGGAACAGGCATTGAACACTTCTTCTGTAGTCAGGGCCGACATCCTCAGTTTCTAGAAACACAGTATGGTTATAATTAAAGTTTCTTATTCAGGACTATCCATAACTGTAATTAATAAGCAGTGACACATTGCACATGTACTATTCAAAATACGGAAAGGAGGATTTAATGAAAAAATTTTACTTCGAAAATCTGACAATAGGGGATAATACAGTGCTGTACAACAGAAAAAGAATGGAAAAATAAGATGAAAAGTTAAACTTTCAGTTTAGATTTATTTTTATCCTTTGCAAAACTTGAGGAAGACACTTTAATAAACTGCCGTAGGAAACAGTTTCACAAATTTAAACTTGTTTATTCACAGGGTTGGATAATGCCATAGACATTGAAGTTGCCTTTGATGCATTTGAAACAGTGCTCAAGTGCAGAATACGAGAGGTCTCGAAAGATGATCTGGTCGTGCTTCATTACAATCTCTATTAAAACAGCCAGGTTAGGAATACTTCTTTGACAGACAGACATTGGCTCTGAGGTAACCACCAAGCCAAAAATCACACTAAGATTGGGTGATCATAGTGGCCTTGCAAGGAGAAAAAGTGACTAATTACTAGGATTTCTCATTTCCCGGGAAATTTGCATCCAGCGGGATTACGAGAAAAATAATTTCTTTTCCTGGGATCCCGGGAATTTCCGGGATGAGATAATAAAATAGAATTTTATATGAATAAAAAAGATCATACAGGAATATCATAAATTTGAATAATTTATTTTCTAGTAAGTAACTAAAGGTGTAGGGCCAATCTCACCCATACAGACACGTTTTTATGTTCTCCTACATTATAAGATTAAAGTAAAATAAAGCGTTTCATTGGGAGTTTTAATGATTACGAAAAAAATACTATTTTATTTCTAAAGATGAAATAAAAAATAAACTTATATAATAATATAAAACCATGCTTCCTGAATATGCGTGTTATTTTTAGTGAGATGGTGCTCAGGTACGGTATTAGAGGGTTTATTATCTTTAGGCTTTCTTTGTTGCAGAGGAAAGATTTTGGAAATAATTTGTTTATGACCAGGTTGTAGAGATATCGATATTTGGAGTTAGAATATCCGGCATTGTGCATTGCTCTTTTGATAGTTTGTAATTCTTCATCAATTAATGTCTGGGAGGATGGAATGAGGAGCGCTCTCTGAATAAGCGAAGTAATAGCGGAGTTAACGAAGCTTGGGGGTTGGAAAGCAGTTACAGGGATAATATCTGGCCCTTTGTTGTTTTTGTGGTGCACTGCAAAACTTAGCTCCGGAGATCTATGCACTTCTAAATCTAAAAAGGAAATTGTATTTTCTTGCTCCTCTTCTATTTTAGTATTTTATTTCTAAAGATGAAATAAAAAATAAACTAAAGTGCGATGAGTGACTGTTCGATGATGCGCAAACACAATACATAGATATTACATGAACTAACAAGTAGAGACTTGTAAAACATAGGTAATAATATGCAGCAAGAAATCTCAAAATCTCTCTCTTAGGTGAATCTTCAAGATGCAACTTTTCGTATAATAAATAAAAGAAAGAAAACCTGACATGGTAAATTATTATTGAAATGCGAGATTTCCCGGGAAAATAAAATTTCCCGGGATTTTTCTCGTAGGGAATAAACTGCGAGAATCCCGGGAAAACGGGATTCCGGGAAAGAAACCCTACTAATTACCCTTTCTTCAGCAAAATGCTGTCACAAAAGCTTCTTCACCTGTGATACAAAGTAGTACTCCACCTTGCACAAAAGCTATACCACCGAGGCATCCTTATATCTCTAACTGCATCCTCTTTGTTACAGTTACAAAATTATGAAGCTAAGAAATATGTGAAGATATCCTTGTCCCATAACAGAACTGATTACTGCACCTGTTGGTTGCAATTCTTCAAAAATGGCTCAAGGATGAAATTTGATATGAAACTACATCAGACAGTATTTTTTGGCAAGTACAGGGAAATTTTTCTGAATAACATGGAAAAATTCTGAAGCTCATATTTGGTAGCTCTGTGCACCGACTGTCCCATCAATATAAAAAGCAATAAATTTTTAATGCCACCTGCTGGAGTTTGCATGCCTAACCAAAGAGATTACAATCAGCCTTAATGAGAAAGGATTTTATCTTCTCAAATGTTTAATCATTCATCCAATTCCAGATAGCGATAAAGAAGACTTACAAATTCTTTTAAGTACCTAAATTCACATAAAGTAGCAGTCGTATCCATCAACAGAATAATTTAACAATTAAAGCACAATCAAGTGAGAGTGAGTTTTTGCAGTATATTTAAATAATACACTTGCAATACTTGCTTTTATAGCTCTCAGTTGCCGACAAAAGAACAATTCTTCTCTCTCTCTTGGATGTCTTCTTTACTTTAAAATGAAAATTTTAGGGCAATTAAGTTTGTTTTCAATTTTTGTAAAGGAAAAAATAAAAATTTTAATTTTCATTTGCCTTATTTATTCTTCTGCTTATTTATTGTTGTACAGCACCATCTTTTCCGCTATTGGCAGATTTCAGAACTGATTTTCTTCTTCTTCTTCCATGAAATTTTGGGTGCAATTTCTCTTATTAGTTATGACTACATAGACCTTTGAATAGGGAAACTTTAATTATAATCACCCCGTATTTAGCAGGTAGGATGTGTTTGTTAATCCGATTTAGGAACTTTATTCTTGAGATCATTAATTACACTAAATAGTCCAAGTATCTGCAAAATTCCTAAAATAATTTATTGAGGTAATCTATTTCTAACATAAACACCTTCCAAACCTTGATTCAAGGTTTAGAAGATGTTATTTAAAATAAAATTTAACTTCAAATTTAAGAAATTTTTCATATGCCATCCATTTTAAACACAAGATAAGAGTCTGATTGAGTTATTAATTAAAGTTATTAACAGCTATTGTTGTGAAGATAATTTAATTTTTACTATGGAAATACAAAATTTGAACTGTTTACTAATTATATTTAGATTAAGAGACTATTTAAGAATATTTTATTTGGATTTTTAAATTTTTTTTGTTGCATTATCTAATCTCATATGAGTAATTTTGCAAACAGTCATAGAACAAATTGTAGGATACAGAACCTTATAAACCCCAGGACTTTGGTGCTTGATTGGTTCTTGTTCTCTTCTTAAGATCGTTGATAGTAAGCACAGAATTACTGTAAAGAACTTATCATACAGAAACACCAGATGACTGATCATACAGACTTTACTATTTAAAATAGAAATGCATTTTGGGCTATTTGCCCCTGATCACTTCTATACATATATGATAAATTGGAAAAATAACTGGACTATTAAAAGGGGTAAGCATTAAAAACATTTTAAAAAACACTGTAATATAAAAAGGTGTAAAAACTTTACTGTATGTTCATCAACAGAGCTGATAGTCATGTGATACAGTGTATTATTAAAATCAGGGAGTAGACGTAAGGACCCTAGACCTTATTCAATATAATAAGTCCTATAATGTTTCTAACTCTTATTCTGTATCTTATGATATCTTAACTTTATTCTGCAGCTTTCTATAGTATACTTTATTCTAGGGCTAACAACCAGAGAATAAATCTAACACTAAACTAAATAGGAAACATAAAGAGATTTTGCAGATTCAAAAGTTACCATTACAAGATAAGCAGTTTGGTTTTGTGGTATTATGCAAGAAGAAACATTGGAAACTCAACAAATGTCAGTAACAAAGTAATTATTTAACTTTTTGTGTGTAAAAGACATGAATATACTCATCCAACCAACAGCCAAATTAATTAGGCAGAAATTATGCTACAAATATTGATTAGAAATTACATGATTCGAACAACTAGATGTAGATGTCAGGCACCATCTCTTAACAATAGTAGTAATATACACGAGTAACGAAAGTAGTATTTGTACATGAATATGTTGATTTAAAATCAAGTAATTACATATGTTTTGTCTTTAAACTACAAAACTATTAATTGTAAATACCAAATTATGACTATCTAACTATGCATATAAATAATTAATACTAAAATCACAGACTAGTACAGTACTTTCATTGAATTTGAACTAACAAACCTATTAATGATTAAATGAAAAATGAATGATCTGATCAAATGATGTAACAAATGGCACGTGAATTGAATGGCATAACAAATGGCTTAATGTAATTTCTTGATTCTAAACAATACAGCTGCCTAGAATTAATGAATGCCAGTTCAAATCTCTTTTGACTACATTTGATTTAAATTAATTTTATCCATTAATATTAAAAGCCTGCTAGGTGTGAGGCTAGTGCATTCACATAGGGCCTGCATTTATTTAATGCTCTGCCCTCAGCATCTCAAAAAGACCTCATATTTTATACGTGGTCCTGCAAAATATGGAGCCTGTTCTGTCACTTCATTTTGGGCCTGGTTGGTCACAATGGACATGAAGACCTCACTAAGAACCAAGAGTTTAAAAGAACATTTATGCCTATACACACAACAATAAGATTACCTTTTGATATTTGTTTGTTTAACAAATGATCGCAAAAAATTTTCTTCTTAAATTGTTTCAGGTATAATATAATAATAATATATATAAACACTTATAAAATGAATAAACTAGCAGTAGTGCATTATGGTGTACCTGACAAAGTGCAAACATTTTAAAAATGTACGAGGGAATTAAGACATTGCTTTAATTGCTTACTAGTCAATAAAATGCATTTAGAATCAAACTTAATTTGCTGCTTAATAAATTATAATTGACAGTTGGCATTACTTTCATAATAATAAACTTCACGATCTCATATTTAATAATGGATGAATGTAATGCTCCCGTTTAAATTAGCTCTAAACAGAAATCACGTACAATCAAAACATTTAAATTCAAAGCAAACCAAAACTTTTAACAAACAACTTGAATTTTGCCAGGTCCTCTCACTTTTGGGGCATCAGAAAGGGACAAATATGCACACATTGAAATCCTGTGTTTAGTTTTGGTACTAGGCAAAATCCCAGATTTTCCTCAATATTGGTTATTAAGCAATACGAGTTCTGCAACATTGGAGCCTCAAAAAACTTTTGTTTAGGGCCCGCACACCCTACACCTCTACTGCATCTAACATAATTCTATCCTGAATGAGGGGGTCACCATCACCTCATTCAAAAGTAGAATCTTACCCGCAATTTTACTGCAAACAAAAGTTACAATTCGTATTTAATTATTTAATACAATTCGTATTAACCTTAAAATCAATTATTCTTTTATTATAAATATAGAAAGTATATAAACTGAGATTTGGCATTAAAACACGAATAAAAAATATTGGAATAGCAGTATTTTTTTAAAGGATACGTAAGCATCAGATAAAGTAGAGGAAAAAAAAGAATCGTGGTTTAACATAATATTTGTTTACGATACAAATCACAATGCTTTCAAGACGTGAAGCAATTATTCAAATTGATAAATTAGAGGGGAACCTCATATTTCTACAGGATGATAAATGGCAGAGAGGAATGACGCAAAAAGAATTTCAAAGATTAATAGTTTCTGCAAGCAAATTTATGAATAAAGTGGAAAAGTTTAAAAGCTAAAAGGACGAATTACATGATCTTTAACATTAACATTGCTAATTTGCATATTAAAGAGAGAGAGAGAGAATCGGGTATTAAACAATATAGAAGTTAGACTTTTAAGCCGACACCTACCTATTCTAATCGCGAGAAGTCGCGTGACAATTCGCACCGTTCTTCAAGAATTTTACTGAATGAAGTTGGGAGGGAACAAGCGCGTGCGAATCACGTTTTTTTTCCGCCCCGTTAATTCGTAAACTAATTTATTCGCAAAATTAAACGTAATTTGAGTTAATTAAAAATAAAGAAAATATCCGTAATCACCTTGCAGAAATCCTTCACCCCACTAACAAATTAAACTTGCTTAAAGTGTTGCCAACTTATAAAAAACTTTAAATATAAAATTTTAAATTAAAAATATTAATTATTATTACATGTTTTATGATTATTTTTTTACGTAATGTGTTATTTTTATTGCTGTCATTGCCGAATATCGATATCGGCTATTTAATTTGCCTGTAATAAATAAATCGAGACGGTCTAAAGGCCAAGAGGTGGCAGCCTATCGCAAAGGGGCATCCGGGTTCGAATCCGGACGGACCGAAAAACCCCAGGAATTTTACGGAGGTGGTCCGGAATATGTCGGGTCCCGTCCTTTACCGTCCGGCCGCCCCACTGGCCACTGTTGATCTGGCCAAATCCTTAATGGGCTTGCTAAAAAAGGCCCTCTTATGTCCGTACAGAAAAGATTAAATATAGATTCATTTTCGATTTATTTATTTATATACCAGATATGCCAGGCCTCATCCCTTAGGAGGCAGCCAGGTGGCTCACCTGGCTGTCCCATTGTAAACCTGAACGAATCCACGATAGACCTGGGATAAAGTTCTCATAATGCTATAGAATTACAGAAATTGACAATTTTAAATATTTAACTTTACCATTTTTAACTCTTTCTGCCCAGAGAGCACTGAATCCTTTATAATTACACCATTACGGGTTCTGCCAGGACCATAATGAGGACTGCGAGATGGTGAGGGATGCGACCAACATATAAAAACATTCTGAGATCCCTGATCAAGATACGAATCCGGATAACTCAGAGCGGCAACTGACGACTGTTCGACCGTCATACACATTTTAGACTCTATGTTCGATCACAATTACTCCCATTATGGACGAGCTTAACCCGCAATGGGGTAGAGTAGTAGACACAACATTTGTTAATATGGAACATCAGATATACTGACATTCCTATTATTTGAATATCGTAATATACTGTTTTGCATTTAATCAGAAGAAATTTTGCACATGAGCTTTATCCACAGTTAAGATAATTGAGAAACCAAAATGTTATTCTAAGCCGTATGAAGTTACCAATAAATCTTGTAAAAATAAGAACACAAACCTGTAAATTGCATAATTAAGGCTACTTTTATATAGATTATCTCTTAAATAAATTCGTTAATTAAAGTAAAATTAATTAAAATTAATAAACAAGTTAATGATATGGCCTACGCATAGTAATATACGTAATATGACAGCTGGAGAACCAAGCGGTTAAGATGGCGGCCACTGTAGGGAACTCTGGATAGAATCCGAATGGGTCGAAAAATTGCAGAAATTTTTCGGAGGTGGCTCCGTTATTCACAACTTGGTACCCATTGTGTGTCCGGTAGAACTCATTATGGGCTTGCTAAAAAGCGGTCATCTTAGTGCTCACAGGAAGAAAAGTTATATAAAAAAAATGTATACATAAAATATAACATTATTCTTGATAAATTTTTGAATGTTTAAATAACCAAACTATAAATTACTTGCAAACTTAGGACCCACCAGTGGCCAAGCAGTTCCGTTCCCTGAACACTGGTATAGGTCGTGGGTTCGAGCTTCGCCAGGACGGGCTGGCCACATGGAGTTTTCTGGGTTTTCTCCACGCCTGAATAGGGGCCAGTTACCCTTAAAAAGCTTTGCCTTAAATTAACCGTTTGATAGAGGAGGAAGAACCTCTTGTACTCTACTTAAACTTAAGGCTACAACAACTAAGATTTACTAATGCTAGAAATTATTATTAGACAGCAAAATTTAGATTGTTGGCATGCAAAATCCATTTGCTAAAACATTTATATTACTTTAACAGCAAGATATTTAATACTGTATTGTAAGAGGCTGTCAACTTTGGTGCTCCTGTACTTGCAAAATGCATAATTTAGTTGAATTGTCTAAATTTTATGCTTTACAATTCTAAAATCATAAGGTATGGAATCCATGAAATGATAATCCATAATTGCTAATTAAAAAAATATATATCTTAAATATAAAATGGAGGATATGAAGTTATTTAAGATAATTTTAGATTTGATAACTAGATTATGATGTGCCCTTATAAATACCATCTGTTCATTATACAGATAATAATAGCAGTCTACAGTTTATATGAAAATTGTGTTTAATATGATTTTTCTATAAATTCTACCATTACTTTTCATTTTTCAGTTATGAAAATGGAAAGCAAAATGGCGTCGAACAAACTTCCTGTTGCTTTGTATAAGTTATGATACAGATGAGTTATCTTCTATGTATTATCTATGAGATTGAGTGCAAGTGGCTATTTTAACATGATATTAAGTTAAGATTTAAAAAAAACAAAAATACGACAAATAATTGGCTGCTGTTTAGAAGTTTGACTGTTCTATTTAATTAATAGATAAAGCTTGATCTGTCAATAATATTAATTTGAAAACAGTTATGAGTTAGATTTAAAAACAAAATGTATTAATTTAACATAAAAATGTTATATATTCTTGTAACTGAATATAATATACATAGGCCTAGATATAAGAGAGGCCAGAAGGATCTCTTTTAAAAAAAATTTAGTCCTTTACGTAACGGACTTACGTACAGGATTAAAGCTCTGTACTTGTTCTCGGGCCTCATCTCATCACTCAAGCTCGGATAATATAATGATGTAAAGGAATTTTTTTTAGATATTTCATATAGATTTAGAAGAAGGAAGCCATTTTCTATAATGTCAAAATAACGCTTGTATTAGTGCAACCTGGTTAGCCATTAAAAATTATAACATTTATCAACAGTATATTAAATCCCTTATCAAATTAAACTGCTTTAATGTTAATTATCCTGCTTCGAGATCAAACTAAATTTTCTGGTTTTATTCTACAAATCAATCGCAGCTTCAGCTGTATAAGACTGAATGAAATCATTCTTCTTTAGCCGAAGAACCACTTAAATCTATAATTTAATATAATTTTATAGTTACCGAGATACAAATAAACGTTTCTTTATATTATTTACGATTTAAATTATCGTTTAATACGTAAAATTACGATAAAATTTTGGCTAGATAAGCTTACAACTTTAATGCAGAATTCTTGTCAACATACAAATCTAACTAGATTAATGCA